TATTTAAAATTAATCATATTAATCAATTTTATAATCAATGTGATCCACGGATATTCAAAGGAAGCCTAAAGAGTCAGGACCTTCTTATGGCCTAATATTTCAAGGATTCTAATTGTGGTGGATTTTGTGAATCAACGAGTTTATACTCATCAACAGACTCTCCTCCGTATTGACGTCAATTATCAACTTGATGCGCGGGAGATGAAACATATAGTTGCCGACAAAATTGCTAAGGAGACTCTCAAGAATAGGCAACTTTTCACTTTCATTGATCCGGTTCCACGTTAATTGAGGACCCTAGTGCATGCTCATGAATTGGGATCTGCATCCCATCCTCTTTTGTAATATTCTTATCAATACTGGCAATTTAAAACATTTTTTAAAAATTTGCTTGCTCTATAATATCATACTAATTTTTTTAATTATATTCCTATTTCAACTGTAATTTTTTAAAAAAAAAGAGCATTGAAATTTAAATAATTTTTTTGTTTATAGTAGTAATATTGTTAAAGTTTTTAAAAGTTGATGAAAAATATTGTATTAAAAACTAATTCAAAATCCTAAACACTCTTAAATTTATAATTTAAAAGCCAAATTATATTTTAACCCATATTATTATGACACTTATATAAAATATTTACTGAGAATATAATAAAAAATATGCAATATTTTTAAGATATTAAAGTTTTATGTAATTTTTCAAAATTTTAATTTCTTTTCATAATTTTTTTAAAATTTAAAAAAATTATTACTATTGGAAGAGCATGAATTCTCCGCCCTCCTTTCCCATCCCCCCCCTTCTTTTCGAATGATGTCTCGCCCCAAAAAAAAAAAAGTTGCTAGCCACCTGGATGATTTAAAAAAATTGCACATATAGCATTACACACTTTATTTGAAAATTATTTCAAACGACCACAAAATAAACCACGAAAATTACATAATTTTTGCAGTGAAAAATTCTCCTAACGTTAGAGATAAAAAAATGAAACATGGTTTAATATAAAATCACGACCACTAAACTAGTAAGCCATCAAACATAACAATGAGTTTCCAATAATTATTAAAATTCAACTCGTCTTACCCCACTATCAAATTATCATAGGAATGTTTACGGAAAAGAAATTACCATAGGGATGATGCACAAAACTCAACCCAAAGAGTAAAGAGAAATAAACTAATCACTCAGATAAACATTAGCAGTGCTCAGAACATACAAGAATTTTATAAATATCAAATTAGCTTAGATTCTCCGACCATGACCACATAGCGAATAAACGCTGCCAAAGGAAAAACTGACTTTTAGGCACACTATATTAACCATAATTATATTAAATGTGGTTAAAATAGGTCCTAACTACATATATTTACATCCTAGTTATAACTTGTCTGAAGTCTTGATTACAAGTAACTGTGTTCAAGACATCAATGACATCGATCCCCATCAGGCTCAATCAGACCACATGTACCATTCAACAATGCTTACCAAAATAAGCAGCACAACTACCAATCACATTATATACAGGGCCTCAGTGAAAGAACCGAAATGCTTGAATTATCATATCTGCGCAACATGTAATTACACTTATCAGTGATCATTTCTATCAAGACGATGGAGAAGAAGGATCAAGGCTTGCCCCAAAAGAATTTTTCGGACAACGTTGAAGAAACCTATGAAAGAATGAATGTAGACTACGTCCCACATGATGACGTGTCAGAATCTCTACACTACCATCGCTACCTTCATGACCTCAAAATACAATATTTCCCACATCATGGTTTTGACGTTGATCGATTCAGGACCTACGGCTACCTTACCACAGCCTACTTGGTTAGGGCTCACTCATAACTGTCGTGTTGCATCTCATTCAAGCATATATACTAGGAACAGAGTAATCCTGGTCCAACTTGTGAGCAATATCAATCAGGAAGGACAAGTCCTTTTTTCCCAGTTTATTTCATGTCAAAGCATTGGAGTTTAAATCCTCCTCCACAGGCAGATTTAGATCAGGAAGTAAGAATGAGACTTCTTGCTCAATAGTCTCTTGTGCTTTGATTGGATTGGTTGGACAGATATGTGTGGCGCATCACTAAGACTTTGTTCGTGAGGCTTGTCGATGAGGTTGCATTACATGAATGAGACTGTTCCTCCTCAGTGGCCACGGACGCTGAGTCTGTTTTAAAGGCCTTTCCAGACTCCAAATCAAGCTGTTACGACAAATTAAGGAATAAATTAGATTATAAAACATCATATTGAATGCTAAAATAACCATAAAATAGTTGTTAGGATAAGTTTTGAACTTAGCAATGGAATCAGTAAAACCTCATTTTGATTATTTACAGATTTAGTATTTCAATTTAGTTCCTAATAAAGCATTCTTATATGCAAGATCCCAACTTGATATTGTGAGACACCAAATTGAAAAATTTCGGTTTTTTTTTTTTTTTTTGTGAGGAACTAAATCGATAGATACTTCATCTATGAAAAGACCAAGGTATGATTTTATTTTAGTTACAAAAAATATAATATATATACCACTATTTATGTCACATGTGTCAACCAAGGAAAGGACAGAATACAAGGGAAAAATATTTATGACACAGACATAATGAATTTGACAACTATGAGCAGTAATTGGCTGTAATAGTGGTGACAACTCGCGGTACATATGAGCTGATTGGTCAAACTTGAAACAGAGGGGTGCATTATAACTAGCGGAAGAAAGTAACCCTATTTCAAATTTCAATGACCGATTGGATCATTGCCACACTTGAGCATAATTATGGAAACGCATGATATCATAAAGCATAAAAAGAAAAAAAAAAGCAGACAACATAAAGCAGAACAGGAAGGTCACCTTCATTCTCTTTAAGCTTTTATTTGCGGCCCTATGTTTCTCGACAGTGAGACGCAAGGAGGCCAGTTCCTGTTCAAGATTCATGACAATACAAAGAAACATAAGACGAGAAATAAGTTATGACCGAAACCAAAAATCTTTGAAGTCCATAATAAAACGTACATTTTTCAAATTTTTCCTTTCCCTTAACAGGAAAGTCTCTTCCTCCTTTAGTTCAACTAAAGTCTGCAAAATAGCATCATCAAAATGTGTTAAGCAGGCAGATGATGAATTCTCAGGTTCGATGACAGCAAAGTGACCAAAACAAGGTGACTTGACCATAAAGGCGTGTATATATGTATCTCCTGCTCATTTCCACTCTATTTGATGATTCTAACACATGCAACGGCCTAATATATATATATCTATATTATATATTATCATGACATTTAATACAAATAATCTTTATTCTCGAAACAAATATAAGGAGACATGTGGATCCAATGCTGGCTGTTCGTGAAAAAGTAGGTACATTACCTTTTTTCTTCGAGATCTTTTTGTACTGGTTGCTTCACTTGGATTCTTAACCTGCCAGATAACAAAAGACTGGACCATCAAAATCCTATCATATGAAAATAAAATAACTATTCAAAAATATGGAATTTAGGAATTTGATAATTGCATAATCTTAGGTAAAAGGACAAGTGCTTGCGATTAAGAACAAGTAGGTCGGGTGGCTCATTCATACAGCAGTTTCAAACTTCAAGAGTACATGATGGAGAGGAATTGGAAAGATAATCTTTGAAATTAATACTAAAACAAACCAAGAACAATGATTTTAGTTTTCATGAATACCATTCGAAATGACTGAAGAACAGAGACAAGATGTATACAAGATTGTGATCAAGGAAGACGTATACTGTTTCCTTTTTGTCTAAGCAAATGGACAAACCTTGATTTCTTTTATTTTCCCGCTCCTTTGCCACGCAAACGAAAATCCACATACATGCCGAAAATATGCTTCTATGCAGATTCATAATCAACTTATACCAAGAATTTAGTCAGCATGGCAAGCCAAAGTCTTTGATAATACCATAATATATCTTTTCCTCGGTAAAAAAATAAAAAAAAATTGCTGCGATAAATTCCCGGTGGCGGCAGCACGGGGAGGAGGGAAGAAACCAAGAGACTCAGAAAAGGTACAATCTCAATAAACTACCACTAAACGGCCAAAAATCAGACAGACTTGTACAGTTCTACACTGACTCAGCAAAATACAGATACATGTTAAAAAAAAAAATATAGATTTACTTTTTAAGCACGCATCTCTCACAAAGCTACCGTACTCAATGTCCCATATTCTTTGCCCAACTGATATTTTCCTTGCCATCATAAATCTCGTTCACAGAGCAATAGCTTGGTTGTGGCTGGGGTAAATATTGCAGTTCAAAATACATTACCTACTCCATCGCACGCATTCGCAGTGAATAGTAAATTCATTCGATCGGATGGAGAATTAATTAAAGTACGATGGATTCGAAAGATAGACACTTTCCGGTCCTAGATCCCTCTCAAATCTTAAGTCTTAACACCAAGCCCGTCAAGAAAAGTATGATCGACACGAAAGAAGGGAACTTTTGAGCCTAAGACCTTTTCATGGGCGGCATAGGAAAAAAAAAAAAATTTGGAAGCAACGAGCCAGATTGAGTTGCTTTATGCCCTTGAAATGGTGACCAAGTGGTCCCCATATATATAGGAGGCTAGCAAAATGGCACCTCCACGGCTAGTCTTCCTCCTCGCATTTAACGGAGAGAAGCATCTTTCTAGTCATTCACATTTTCATTTCCTTTTCCAGGAGATATGATTTTATTTTTAAATCATCTTAAAACTTAAATCTAAGAAGGGCATAACAAAAGAGCCAAACTAATTCTAATTCCATCTTCTGATCGTTTCAATCCCAACCATTGCCATTGATGTTTGCTAGATTCTTACTTTTTGGACCCTACCAAGCATAAAAACACTAGTAGTACAGCAGCCTGTCATTCTAATGAATAGCCCCAAATAAAAATTCCATCCACTTTTGACTTTGCTGATCATGTACGTTGCCATCTTTCCCGCGAATAGAAAGGATCGCCATCATGCTGTCAAGCAACAGATGCGGTACACTACATTGAAATTAATACTCCCTCTTCCTCCCTCCCTTGCTTCTACAAAATTATTTCTCCCATGAATTAAATTAATTTAACTAATTTATATTTTAAATCTACTTTTATTTCATTTTCTACCCTCATTTAATGTCATTTCACTGGCTAACTTTAAATGAGAATACAGTATTTATAACAAGAGACATATATCTATGCAGATATATTGAAAAAAAAAAATATTAAATACACCTCAAATTTTATAATTTATCACATAAATATAATTAAATCACATCCAAAATTGTCTTGTAAACAGAGACGGGGGGAGGGGAGAGTGTGTGCATTAATATAATTAATATAATAACTAAATTATAGTTAATTAAAAAATATATACTCCTCCATTAAAAAACATAAGGTATTTTTAAAAAATTTGATGTTAAAAATATTAGGTATTTTTAATTTTTTGAAGTATAATCATTACCTTTTTTTAAGTATTTTATATTTATTAAAATATTTAATAAAAATAAATATAAAAAAATAGAATTAATTTAAAAATATATAATTAATTTATTGACGGTGGTATTCCATCAAAAATTTACACACTCATATGACCTCACGCATGATGCGTGAAACCACGACGCAAAGGGTGAAGCGCCTGCGGAAGAGCAAACACTCAAAAGTGTCCGACCACTACCAACAATACACCAAACTGCACGCAGACAACATTGCCACGAAAACACGCTATCAAAACAGCAGGTGAAGCAAGGATGATATTACCGATATACCCCTCCCAGTAAATCCCTTGCACAAATACTATTATTTACCTCACCCAGTCGGAGCGTTGAATGCAAGCGCGACAAAGCAGGTAAAGAGCGCGACCGCGAAGTTGAAGTCCAGTTCTTCAATCTTCCTACTCATGAAAAAGACATACGCACCCATCTGTGATAGGGCTTTTTCGGTCATTTCAAGACTATGCGTGACGCAGAGCGGAAAAGTGCGAGAAGGAAACGTGATGGCCTCTGACTCCATGCGCGGGGAATTTAGGTCACTCATTTTTTCTGAAGGACTTGAAATGAAATTTATTGATAATAAAGTGGATCCATCTCGGATTTGTCCGATATTAGTAGTTTTTAATTACCACGAGTCAAAAACTAAAAAGAAGTTTCAAGGAAGACACCGTGGAAGGCTGAATCGTCAACATCAAAAAACTATATTCTCTCGTGATAATATAAACAGGAAAAATCAGGGTCGAACTTTTTCGGAGGGCATCTTGTTGAGCAAGATTAGGCAATAGGAAATGGTCCGGTTACTGGAGAAGCTCCAGCCGTCAGAGGGATTATCGGTATGGCGTAACGGTGAATCTGCTGCCACAAGGCGAACAAAGGTTGGTCCAAAACTGATACGACGGCAAAGGAAAACGCGGTAGGGGCCATCTACTTAAATTATTTCCACCTGACTTAACACGGATTCGTCAAGGTAAATATCCAAGTTGAAGAACTAACCGCCACGCTACGTAGATAGAGAAGTTTCGAAGCCGTGTGATTTGACGTTCGAAACTAAGACACACCACAGGAAAACCGAACGCATCTCCGGTGACCGGAGATCTGTCACCGGAAGACCGGTCTGTCACCGGAAGAAGACCAAAAAAAACAGAACAGAACAGAAAAATTCAACCGAAATAGAAAGACCAAGCAGCAAACCTTCTCAGATCTCGAGCTTTCCACCCGTTTGATCGGACAGCTGGACTCTTCGCAGCCATCAACGGCGCCGCCGCCGCCGCCAAAGCTAGCAGACGTGGCACAGCTCCAGGAGAGCGGCGTGGTAGGGCTAGCTCTCGTCGGTTCATCCTTCCCTTCGGAGCCACGGTGTCTGGGAACCGACCTGGAACGACGCTGACGCACAGTCCAGTCGACGCGAAGACAGGGAGGCTGTTTTTTAGTCAGAGAAGGAGGAGGAGGAGGAGGCGGTGGAGTATCTTGGTGGAGACGGAGGAGAATCTCGACGACGACGGAGTCATCGGACATGGCCACGTTGATCCAGTCTTCGTCGCACATCTCGCAGACACTGAAGGGCGTCGCGAGAGAGAGAGAGAGAGAGAGAGAGATGGACAGTGGCGAAGAAGAAGGAAGCGAGAAGGCGAAAATCTTGTATGGGGTGTGTGTCGTTGGGAATGTTAAGTAAATAATAAATAATGAATAATGAATCACGATGGTGTGGGGGGCTCTGTGCGTGTTGTGTGTCGCACTGTGTGCAAGAGAGGGAGAGAGATAGAGGAGAGAGATAGAGGAGAGAGAGGATGGTCTTTGTTGACAAACCCTTTTCTTGTTCTTGTGGATCATTCTTCTCTCATCGGGGTCCACTTTCCTTCTTTGGGGCTTTCTCTCAAAGCGTTGGCTTTGTCTCAGGGTTTGCTCAGTCCACTCAAGTGATCCCGAGCGTTCCTTTGATCTAACACTAGATTCTCATTGCCTAATGGAAATTGTCGTTGCCAAGGATGAATTTTGTGCCTGTCATTCTTGTATGCTCTCTGGACCGTTCATCTATATTTTCTCAACCACCTTGCCCAGTTTTCCCTTGTGGGCTCGCTTCTCTCAATAATCAACACCATTTCTCAATGAGGAGATCAGGTTTCATTTCTTTCAAGATCAAACAAGTAGAAATGGCTGATCACCATGAGTAACTCTTTGACATTTTCTCAAGTAATCGAATCAAAAAGGAAAAAAAAAAATCACATTGCAATAACACCAGTCTGGTGCCACAAATGTTATAGCTCAGACTTACTAACCTTGCAAATACTTGAAGTTCTCTTATAACTAAAAATGGTAAATGGACAAAATAATACTGATATAGTGGCACCATCATTTGGCCATTGCATAAACAATTGCAAGAGTAGCTCCCTATCGTATATACCACCAACGCTATGTTATTGGTGAACGAACTTCGCTTGTCCATGCCATGAGGTGAGAATTCTACTTTATGCATAAAGGCATTAAGTGTAGCACTTTTATTTTGTAGTAAACTGTCCGTATCTAAAATCATATTGGATTTGGCTAATTTGAATTCAAGTTGAGTCGGTCTTAAACATTGATATATCTCCTAAAAACATTTCTACATTTATGCAAAATTAACAAGACAATGTATTTGATTGATCATAGATTCTTTCATTACGACCAATACTTATTAATTATACGAGCACATATCTAATTTGTATGCTACATTGCTATGCACCTGTATGGTTGTTCAAATTATGAAATGCTACAAGCCCTAAACTTAGGCTTCAGTTAATACCACGTTGAGTTCGTTAATTAACAGTTGTCGCCTGCTCTTCATGACATCACTTGAAGTTTCTTCCCCCTGTTTTATTTATAAATTACTTTTCACATTTTTTATTATAATAAAAAAAATTTAAATTTCATTAACTTTGTTTAAAAATTTAACAAATTTTAATTTTATTCCCATTAGATATATATACTTTAAAAATAAAATACACTAGTATTTAATAACATTTTTAACATTTAATAATGATAAAAGGGTAAAGATAAACACAAAAATCATTGAGCTATCCTTATAAATAGAATAAATATAAATATTTTTCTATTTTATAAATAAAATTTAAAAAAATTATTTGGAGAGCCCACTCGAAGGATTTGGCAAAAACCCATAAGTAAATCGCTAGTGGCACCTAGACCGGATTTCGCTGGAGCGAGAGGATAGAAAGTCAGACTTCGGGTAAACCTTGCGCTTGAAAGGGGACTAATTAAAGCGCGCTTGCAAGCTTTGCTAAACTTGTTGACCAAAGTTTTGTTTTGCACAGTCTCGACCATGCTAAAATTTGGACGATTTCATGTTTTATTTTTCTTCTTTTTCTTATAAATTAAAATCAGTAATTTGATAAGCCAGGCATATTCAAATTGACCTGATTAAGATGAATTTATATATAAACTTAGATAGTCAAACCTAACCCAAACTTTTTTAAATTTATTTAGGCTAACTCAAATATTCAAATTATCTATTTTTTTAAATTAATTATAATTTAATTTATATTTTTTTGGGTACTTAAATGAAGTAGAAGACTCAAACTTTTAAAATGAAACATGTAGATCTAAAATTTAAAATAAATATTAAAATATATTTTAAATATTATTTTAAGATATTTATAGATTAAAATAATAAAAATACATCAATATAAATATTTTATTTTTTAAATATATCTATAATATTATATTTAATATATAGTATCTTATATGACCTAAATTTTAAAGAATTAATTAATACTCTATATATTTTTAAAAAGTAGTTTTTTATTTAGGTATTCAAGTAAAGCCTGAATTCAGTCAGGTTTGCTTGAATAAACTCGAATATTAAAAAAGCATGATTTTATTAAGCAAGGTCCTAAATTTTTTTAGGCTTTTTCAAGCTTGAATTATCAACTTTAATCTAAATAAATATTACGACGAAAAATGGAGACAAATTAGCAATAAATTTGCACCATAAAATACGTCATAAAATTGTAATGATAAAATAAGCAATCTTATGGATATCTTGACTCTCACGAAATATTTCATTTTTATTTTTAAAATTATAAACCATTTGTTAATTTTATTTTATCATTACTTATTTCAAATTAATGTTTTAGATATTTATGTTTTTTATTTCTTTTATCTTTCTGGTTTGATATAGTTAGTATATACTTAATGACATATTAATTTCTTCACCACAAGTTTAACCATAATCCAATGGAAACTAAATCCAATGAATGCTAGCCACTCACTTAATAAGTGTTTCATATGATATGATAATAATCATTTAATTTGAACGAATGGCTATCAGAGATTTGTCATATATTCAAAAAGCATCAAATCTTAAATTTTTAAAGAGGATAATATATATGAAAAGTATTTTGATTATGAGGGTTGTTTTACATTTTTTAAGAGAAATGTATCTTGATAATTTTTAAATATGGATGAAATTCAATAGTTATAAATGGCACACTCATTAAGTGAAACTCGCTGCGACTCAGTCTCTCAACTATAACTCGCTGCAACTTAGTCCCTCAACTTTTGATTTACCTATAACTCGATCCTTATTTTTTAATTTTTTAAAAAAATTTTATAAGAGGAATAACAAAATGCTCATATATTATTTTAAAATACCCTCTTCTTATTTATTAATGTGAGATATAAGCTAACATGAAAAAAAAATTAACAAAGGTTAAGGAACTAATTTATAAGTGATTTAAAAGTTGAGGGATTGAGTCATAGGCGAGTTATAGTTGAGAGACTAAGTCATGGGCGAGTTATAGTTGAAGGACTGAGTCATAGTGAGTCATAGTTGAGGGACTGAGTTATAAGTAACTTAAAAGTTGGAGGACTAAAAGATTAATTTTCCCTTAATTTTATAATAGATTAGCATAAGTTAATTTTTATTGAAATTATATATTTTATTAAAGTGATTACTTTGGTTTTTAAATATTAAGTTCAAAATAAAACAAATCCTCATTAATTGTTCCCATTTCATAATTGGTGGAATAATTACACAAATCCTTTGTTTATTCTCTATGATCTTTTTTTTTTAATTTTAATATTTAACTTTCTCGTTTATTGTCAACTCTCTTTTATGAACCCGGGCTTCACATTATTGGGCGTTACTCTGGGTATTCAGCAAAGGCACATTGGGCCTATTTATAGGGCCATAGATTTTCTCACGAAATGTTTCATGAGAATACCTGGGCTTCTGTTGTTATTTGTTTTTAAAATAAAGTCTTTAGAATTTTAAGGTAACATTTTAAAGTTAAATACCTCGTCATTGCTTGGTTCCCCCCCCCCCCCCCCCAAAAAAAAGTTACAGCTTATTGCAAATGGGAGAATGTTAGATAAGAATTAAAGATGTGACATAATTATTAATGAGATTTAAAAAATTTTAAAATTTCAATTCAATCTAAAAAAATAAAATGAAAAATACAATTGTAAAAAGATTAAAGCACCATTTATTTATTATGCAAAATTGTTAATTATCAACTTTCTTATTTATTTGTTAATTTACCAATACAAATTGTAAATTATATGAGTTGACATGTCAATGATTATATAAAACTTGACATCAATTATTCAATTATAAGCAGTAACATTAGTTGTTAAATTGTTAACTTTATTTGTTAATTTATTAACATCAGTTGTAAATTACTGATAGGTCTTGTAATTGAAGATTGATATTAATAAATTAACAAGTAAAGTTGGCAAATTAATAATTAATATTATTACTTGTCTGACAAACAGATGTAATTTACTATTGATATTGGTAAATTAACAAATGAAGTAACAAAATTTACAACTAGTGATCTACATAACAACTTAATAGCATTTTAGTCTTTTCACAGTTAAAATTATTTTCACTTTTATCTCCCTAAATTGAACTGAAATTTTAAAAATTTTTGGGGCCCACGATCAATTATATCACATACTGATCCTCATTTGAAATTCTCCCATTGCAAATTATGTTTTCTTATTTGCCATGTAACAATTTGCGCATATTCTTAAAATTTATCATAAGACTAGTGATTGAGATATGGGAAAATTATTGTTATTGAGTGTAATTTGATTTGCTTAAATCATAAAGAAGTTGTATTAAGCAATTGCTGAATATATTTGGCTTTGCAGAAGACATTTCGAGGTTGCTCATTTTTGTTCGAGTTATAAATGAATATATTAGACAATGCCATTAAATATATCCATACTTAGAGCTTAAATCACACCTTTCAACCCCTCTTTGACCCAGTACCTTCCATTTTATCTAATAGATATTTTGAAAATTCTAGATCCTATAATTTTATTAACTAACATTTTAACTTTCAATTTGAATAGTTTTCATCAGGGAGAATGCATAATTCTTCTTCTTCTTTTTTTTACAAGGGTAAGCCGAAGCTTGATAATTACATCTAATTAGTCACTTGAGCATAGGCTCTGTTCTCTAATGATCATATCAAAACAGCAAGCGGATATCTAAGTTAAAATTTGTAAGCCAGGCACGCCAAGAAACGCATTCTTTGCTAATAAATCAACACACCAGATTGAGTTGCGTCCAGTATAAATGACTTCCACATCTTCCTTAAGGCTTATAAGATCTCAGATTTGATAGACTAAGCTCAGAAGAGGATGCTGAGGTCCACATTCTCTCATGATTA